AAATCTTACACTTGGCTGTTTCACTTGGTGTTGAATTTCTTCTTGGTGTGGCACTGTTACAATACTTGGGAGGAAAGGGGAAGCTAAATGAAAAATGGAGTCTTTTTGTTGTAGGAGTTGCTGGACAAAATGAGAACAGGCAAAACATGATCATGAGTTCATTACAGCTGCAGGAGTGGCACAGATTGCGTCTGAACAGAAGTAGGTCTAACAGTTGGTTGGTGGCCTGGGAAACTTTAAACCTCTCCTGATCAGAGTGGTGTTGCTGACTTCTACTATGAGTAAACTGAAACTGTTAAATGAACTAAAGTGTTTCAGGCCCTTGTGTGCTTTCTGTGGTTAATTCCATCCTATTGACAGTCACAGAATTTTCCTTTTGGGGAGAACTTAACAGCTGACTCCTATGCTTATATTAATGCATAGTTCAGTGATGTATTGTTTCTTCCCCTTCCTGGGCTAAGGGGGAAGGTTCACCAAGCAATTTTGTATGTCATCTGAGTTTTAAAATAATGTATTACAGTCTTGATTCAGTGTGGTATGCTCCAGGCCGGTACCGTAGCAAAAATAGTTCTGAGGAGGAGACTGGAAATATGCCTGATCCCATTAATTATATTTTCTTCTTTCTATTTTTAATCCTTTGAAGCAACATAAAAGTCAAGTCAGTAGTCTCAAATAACTTGGATTTTTAAGGAGTCATCTTTGGAGTCAGGATGTATCAGTATCACAAGATACTGTCTTTGTAAGATACTTGACTTTGTATGGATTTAGCAGAGGCAAGGTTTTGTCTGTCAAACTAATTAATTACTAATAGTATGGTATTTAATCTGTATTTAAGAGAGTGTGTAAGTCCTTAGTCACAAGACCTAAAGAATTAAGTTGAAGAGCAAATGTAGTTGTAAAAATTCTGAAACATGCAAAACTTTTGCTCCTTTGAGAGCTGGCAAAAAAAAACTTGGCAAATCTTACATCTAGTTACTAACTTCTCAGTTTTGTGTAGCTCATAAAATAGATTCACATGGCCAAAGAACACCTGTTCAATTAAAGTGACAATACTGAAAATAAGTGAGAAATTATGATAATGAATTAAAATTGGTTACAAGTTAGGTCATAAACAGGTCAGAGTTGTGATACAGTTCTGTGGATTTTTATAGACATTGGAAAGTGTGACATTTAATTTTTACTGTGAACATAAACTTCAAGACAAAGTGTTTCAACTTGTGAAAAAATTCATGAATAACATGAACAAGGTTTTTTTTTTTTTAATTGTAGTCAGTTCTAATCAGTGAATGAACTTTTTTATTCAAGTCTATATTGAAATTTTAACTCTTAAACTATTACTTTTTGTGTCGGTTTCTGTATTCCAGAGATTCCTAAACCTAAAGGTAGTCGCTGTATTTTATTGTTATGCACCCTTCCTTTCTTCTGAAATTTATGTAGCTTTTGGTGTAGTACGCATCAGAATGCTACTTGTGCTGTTTGTGAACTGCATTTTAGGTATCTGTGAACTTCACAGGATGCCCTCTGTGAGCTTTGTAGCTATGTAAAAGTTTTATCTTAGGATGTTCTGCTCTCTTTATTTTGGTCCTGGGTCAGCTGTCACAAGAAAAGCTTTGATTAACTGGCCCTTTTTCTCTGGCTGTGCTAAAATAGCTTGTGAGGTGGTTTCTTATATGTATTTAGACCAGTAGAAAATGTATCTGACTTCACAGATCTATTATGTCTGTTAGAAGCAGATATTTTCCTTTCATAAGGTAAAAGTTTACAAAACTGAAAGCATTGAAGGAAAGTAAAATATAAAAAAAACCCCTTCTCTGCAGCATAAGAGTTCACTTTTCATGTTTTGGTTTTTAACAACACCTTCCACTTGAGTAGCATTTTTGCTGTATGTCATAGCTGTAGAGTCCAGAGTAGAGCACCATAGTTGATTGGTGAAAGAAAGCAAGATACCTAAAAAGCAAACAGTATCACTGCCTACATAATGTCACCTTTTCCAGCCAGGGACAAAGTATCCAGAGTAAGACCCAACCTTCAACTGCTCTTCCAACTAACCACTGTTCTGTTGCATAAGCATCCCGTTCTTGAGAGGAGGCTCTTGTTTTCTCGCCAACTTTCCACAGTGTCATGCTGCATACCAGACATTTTCTGTTCTTGCCTGTGAGATTCACTGTGATAAGCATTAACGAAGGTGAAATGCTTGGTGGGTGTCATCAGTAGAAAATCTTGTGATACCAAGCTGACAGATAATGCCAAGAATATAAAATAACAAAATATCTGAAGAAGTTAATTCTGTTTTAGTGTAGTGGCTATATTCAAATTAGTAAATGTTATTTATGGGAAAGAAATCTTATGTGAGACTAGTAAAGACGTCATTTAATAGAAACGATACAGCTTTAGGTGGGAAGAACAGCCTTTTACCGTGTGAGGGGTTTGTTTACGTGTGCTCACCAGCTGAGCGTAGATACTTGGTGAAGTTCTCCATCTGCTGGTGCGAGGTGGTGCATGCATTCTGCAGTTAGGGCTGGAAATGGTGTTCTATTCCTGTTGTTCAAATGTAGCTGCAGCATTAGTCTCCGACTCTTCAGTCCTTGCATTTACTTTTTCAGTTAAAATTATTTCCAAACATTTCTCAAGACAATCATGAACTTTTTTAGGGTTATTCTGTTGCAAAAAACTATTGCTTTAGTCACTGTAGAACTTGCTATCTATGACTTGGTTCAGTAGTTGATTGAACTTTTAGGTGTGATACAAGTGCAGACAAGCAAGCAGGGCTGGAATATATTTATAAATTATTTTTTATTTAAAAAAATTCTCCCAAGTTCCACACTTCCTGTTTAAATTATCCTTCAGTTTTTTCACAATTAGAAAGGGACATTCTTGCGTAATTAAACATACACAGGCGTACTTAGTCTGCTGTGGAACACTGGGATGTTAAGTGTGAAATCTGTGTTGCGGTGATCCCCACAGCGTAAAAGTGGGAGCCAGCTTCATTCTGATAACTTAAATGACCTTGTGCATCTGGATTGTGTTTGTGAAATAGGCATGCACAAAACAGGAATTTGCTGAATTGCATTGGAGTGTTCTTGGATAAAAGATGGAGTATTCTCAGATAAAAGATTACTTTGTATTTTTAAAAAAAAGTGTTTGGTGAAATATGCTTGTTTGAAGAGGCGGGGGAATTTATTTAAAAGGTGATACTTAGCAATGCAATTAAAGAGTCAGCATGTGTCTGGGTTTGTTTTTTTTTTTTTTTTTTTTTTTGTGTGTATGTGTGGTTCTTTTCTTTTTTAACAGTTACCTAGAGCATGCATCAGCCTCATGATGGTCTTTTCTTTTGGCTATCTAAGCTGACTTTGTAATTAATGTTAACAATTGGCTCAGTATGGGTGCTCTATTTAGAAGTGGTGGATTAAACTTCTTTCTTTTCCTTTCTTCAAGTCTTCTGTTGCTATTTTCTTGGTAATTCGTGCACCATTAACATTTTAACATCTGGATTTTAGTTGTTTAGTGATAATGTAATAACTGCAGATAAAATACAGATCTGAAGGAATAACTTTGAAGTGAATATGCTGTGTAGAATTAATCGAAGTTGCTAATCACTTAAGAGCTAGCAAGCTCTTGAAAACTTTTAGGTACTTAAGGAATTCTTACTCCTCTAGTGAATATTGTAAGCATTAGGAGGAGCTCAGGTATGCAGAGGGATTTCCTGTGCTGAATCCAGAACAGAGCAATGTGTGTTTGTGTCTGCACTGGTATTCTGGTTCAACTCAGAAGTGAACATCTGAGAAGTATTTCCTGGATATCACCACTCACCTCGCCTTGTCTCCCACTGAGGGGTGATTTCAAAGCATATAAATCCAGTTCCTTTAAAATGTAACTAAATTGGTACGTGCTCTCAAGTGCTAAGTTCTCAGGATGGGACTACAGCAAGTCCAAAGGTAGTTGCTGTTCGCCCCAGATATGTGTAATATATGTGATAGGTTCTTAGCGTTGTAATATTTTCAATGTCACTGTAAACTCTTATGCTGCATTACCTGCTAATGTAGATAGCCTGTGTCTACATACTAAAACCAAGCTGAAAACATTTGAAGGGATCGAAGGGTAGAATTTTGATTAAATACAAGCCATCCTGACTCTTAGTAGTTCTGCTTCATAAAGTGATCCAATACTAATAATAGTTCATCACCTTCTAAGAGTTGTTGATTTGTTTCTCTTTTGAAACTCAAGTTATGTAAACATGTCTATTTTCCAGGATTCATATGTGATGTGCTTCTGAAAGAAGAACTGAGAATCCATTACATACTTCCACTTTTGGGGAAACTCTTCTCCTAATGTATTTTGCAAACTAATTGAATTATCATAGAAATTCAGCATGGGAGGAGCTGTGAGTGCTGGAGAAGACAACGATGACTTAATTGATAACTTGAAAGAAGCTCAGTACATTCGCACTGAGAGTGTGGAGCAAGCCTTCAGAGCAATTGATCGTGGTGATTATTATCTGGAAGGACACAGGGACAATGCTTATAAAGACTTGGCCTGGAAGCATGGAAATATACACTTGTCAGCACCCTGCATTTATTCTGAAGTCATGGAAGCGCTGAAGCTTCAGCCTGGATTATCATTTTTAAATCTGGGTAGTGGAACCGGATACTTGAGTACAATGGTGGGATTAATACTAGGTAACTTCAACTTTTTATTTTAATACAGTGTTTCTCCACTATACAGGGTTATACAGGCCCTTTAAAACTTTTCTTTTTCTTCTTTAAAAAATGACAGTACTACACTCAAGACCAGGTGTTTGAGATGTGTTGTTAAAAATACTGTATGTTATCTACAAGCTGTTCACTGACACTGTTGTTCAGTGACAATTCATGGAGTGTTTTGAAAGAGGTGATTGTTCCTGTTTGCCTTTCTATAGTCTAAAATTCTCATTTAAGTGGAAATAGTCCTTTTGTTGTTCAAAAGGAAAAGGCATAAAGGAACAATTTTTGAGAAGTATATTTAGAATACAGAGCATATTTACCAATAAATAGTTTCATTTTTTACAAATTAATTTCATTACATGAAATAACTTCATTTATTTTAGTATGTAGTTTTGATATGTATCATTTTATTGACTGTATTACATGGAGTTTTTGTATTTCTTTGGTTGCAGAAACTGGTCTTATTTTTTAAAGAGTAGAAATTATCCGTAGTAGTACTTAACAAACATGATCTGTTGGCATCTCCAGCAGTGTCCTTTGTTCCAGTTAATATCAAGCAATTCAAGATATTCCACTGTTAACTTGTGGAAATGGGAATTATATTTATTAATAGGTAAAAATAATACTAAAAAAAATACCTACTCTATTAGAGTGTTGCTTTGCCCTTTTCAAGATTGTTTCTGATTGGGAGTATGTATTTCTAATTAGATTGTAAGATTCTAAGTTCAGTGTTCCATTATTAAAACAATTAGTGAATATTGCTGCATTTTTTTTTTCTCTAAAGTGTTTGCTCAGGGTAGCAAGTAATGGTATTAATTTATTTCTCTGCCATGTGGAAAGCTTTATTATTTCATTATTCTTTCTTAGCTATGATGTTTAAAAAAGAAAATGTTTCTCGTATATTGCACTTATACCTGTGTATTAATCTGACAACTTT